CCGTAGGTAGGTCTTTTTTCGCGAGAATTTAACTACCGATGAGAGATATTAAGTGACCTAGGCACTATTTATGTTCAGTTGAATCCGATGATTGTCTTAGAAATCAATGACACTGGCTGCCCGTATACTGTAGCTGCCCGTATACTGTAGCCGGCCGTATACCGTAGCTGCCCGTATACTGTAGCTGCCCGTATACTGTAGCTGCCCGTTTACTGTAGCCGGCCGTATACTGTTGCTGCCCGTATACTGTTGCCGCCCGTATACTGTAGCTGCCCGTATACTGTTGCTGCCCGTATACTGTAGCTGCCCGTNAGGTTAACGACATGTTAGGTGTTAACGATAGGTTAGGGATAGGACACCAGGTTATTTTATTGAATTTAACGCCTGAGGTCTTCCGTTCCATCCCGCACATAGCTGATGGAATCTGGGGTTAAGTAAGGAGTGCCAGGTTATTTTTTTAAAGAGGCATAGCTATAATAGAGCCACACAGCCTGGGCCAAAACAGGGCCGACCTGCGACAATAGAACCTAAGGTTAGGTTTAGGACTGCAAGACGTTTTCCTTGCAAGAATGACCATGCTCATGGACATGGTTGTGTCAAATTCGGCATACTAGCTGGGGGAAACTAAGGGTTAGGTTAAGTCGACTCCAGGCTTTTTTTTTATAATGGTATCTGACCCTGTTACAAGCAATTTGACGCTGTGTCCCTGACGCTGCTCCCACCTTAATGGAAAATGCTGCTTTTAAGCACATTGTTGTAGGCATCGTAGGATGTGAGATGGACGTATTATATTAATGGTATTGATAAAACATCGTGGGACGTGTGAAAGTTTGAGTATTACTAAAATTGATATTAAGATATAGGGGGCGTACGGAAACTTCTGGTTTAGGAAGGAGAAACTCAAAGTTATCGTTTGCAAATATAATAATAGTTCATTCAATAGTTCAATATAATAATAGTCCATTCAGTCCATAGCTTTTACCTTTGCTCGATAGTTCTACCCCTGTATACATGTCATCAAAAAGTCGCTTCAAATAATCTTTATTATGCTCAAATAATCTTTATTATTGATAAATATTCATTTACAGAAGACAACAATGCTGCGCCATTGCGCAAAAGACAAGATTCGCACGAAATGCTCATTATTAGATTTTAACTGAATTTTGAACCGAATTTTTTCAATTACTTAGAATGAAAGCTCGGTCAATTACACGTTGCAAAAGATTATCAGCTATTGTGGTCGAAATGAGAACAAATGCGCACTTAATAACATCTGAGAAGTGTTGGATTTAACATAAAAGGATATTTTGATATGCCTCCTGACGTGTATGAGGATTTCCGTCTCGGTTGAACTAAGTGCCAAGAGAACACTGCCTATGAATCCTTCCTGGCTTGAAAAATCTTCCCAGAGTGAAGTTCTAAATAACAATATTATATTATATGATAAGATTAAAATGGTGTAAACGAGCTGCTCTGTAGCGGTGTTATTGGCGGGGAGCGAGCGCTGTGGTAGAGAGCTGTGGTGGGCCCCTCAGTACAGGTGTCAGCGCACCTGTGCTGATGGGAGTGCGAAGGACAAAGAATAAGCCACGTACGTGTCTTATTCTTTTCTCTCTTTAAGCATAGAGAGAAGTAGCCACGTATGTGGCTAATTTTTATCTTTCTTTCTTTCAGCACACAAAGAATAATCCACGTATGTGGCTAATTCTTTTCTTTCTTTAAGCATACAAAGAATTAGTCACGTATGTGGCTAATTCTTTACCACGCCCTCGCACTGATATCTTATATTTCTTCCTGTCCCTCGTCGGTACTGAGCTGCGAAGCTCTGCTGCGGAGCTAGAAACTCTTTGCCGCATCGAGTTGTTCTGTCGGAGCTGTCGGCCCTCCGTTGTTGTCGCTCGTGTCACGCGTCGGTGTCCTGATAGTTGATTATATTGGCAGCCTCCAGCACAGTTCCGATGTGCTTCAGTTGAACGATTAGTCCCATGGTCATGAGAAGGAACATACGTTCTGAATGATATACTCATCTCCAGGTAGAAGCCTGCTAACAGAATTGTAAACAAAAAGGCTAGAAAATTCCAGTTTTCAATTTACATAAACAGTCGAATTGTTAATATTTAATAAATTTTTCAATATTTCAAATATTTTATTCTACAGTTAAAGTTAAACAAGCATTATCTTGTTTAACATTCAATTAATAAAACATTTCGTGACCAAACGAGACGCGCCTGTCAGAATTATGGTCGGTAGCAAAATTAATGATTACTTTAATAATTCACAACTGGGTCCTATAAGTTCTTAATTGTCCGTAAAATACAATTGAAAGATAAATGATGACAGTATGCTAAAATCCTTAACACTTATTTTGAGTTAGACACGGTGAGGTAAATACAGATATAGCAGAGTAAATACAGGTATTGGTAACGACAGTATTGCGTTAGACTCAATTGCCGGAACCGTCTTAAGTAGATGCGAATGGAGGCTAGCTTATAATATGTACAACACGAGTTTGTTAGTTACTGTCTTGTCTGCAAATAAGGCAGGGAATGCTTGAGGAGCTTATATACAACAATGACGCGCGGTAACTGCTGCAGCAAGTATATGGGTTGTGACGGTAGACAACCTGACACGCCACCTCATGTAAAATATTGCCAACCAAATCACAAGGAATTTCCGTTAAACTTAAATTCATACTAAATAAAGATTTTAATATATTGAATACATTTAAGTTGCCTAATCCAATTTTTTGCCAAATATTCGCAACTGAGCAGAAATTCTCGTATATAGTTTAATTTAAGATGTTTTCCTCCCATCTCACCTAATCCTGCGAAATCAAGTTTCGTGACTTTAATATTAAGGCAATAGTTTAATGGTGACAAAATATTTCCGTGTTATCATTGTTTCGATGATACGTTTAATGGTGACAATATATTTCAGTGTTATCATTGCTTCGATGATACGTTTAATGGTGACAATATATTTCCGTGTTATCATTGCTTCGATGATACGTGTGTTTTTTATATACATTTTGATGAATAATCGACTTTTTAAAAAATGATGTTTCGAAAATTGATACACATAATCTATTATGTCGGCATAAATCTTTATTTAATTTGTGGCTTTAACATTATCCCTCCAAGAAACCATTTCTTATGTTTGCCTTACTGTTGAATTTTAGAAAATTCAAAATGTCTACGATGTTTGAAGCCAATTTTTAAGTTGAGAGCCAATTTTCAAATTTCAATCCGATTCTCGTTGGATTAATTTCTCAAGAAATATATCCAAAATTATGACTTAAAATGAACAGATTACTGAAAATAAAATATTGCTCACGCTAACTACATAGACAAGTAAATTTCCACGAATTATCAACATTGCTCAACTTAGTATTTTAACTTAAACCAAAGACGCAATTTGTATGGAATTACACGTGTAACAGGTGTGCTGCTGGTCCGAGTGTACTGCGCACTCGCCTCAGCGCCGCTCTCTCTCATTTTATTAAAGCTGTAATGGAGCCAGCGTAGAGAGTAGCAACGTTAATACTAACATGAATTATCATTTTTTAAATAATTTTCATTGCTTCTTACATATTTGATGAATATTTTAATCAGTTCTTCATCTATTCCTGTTCACTATATCTGTTCCTGTTCACTTCATCTGTTCCTGTTCACTTCACCTGTTCCTGTTCACTTCATCTGTTCCTGTTCACTTCATCTGTTCCTGTTCACTTCATCTGTTGCTGTTCACTTCATCTGTTCCTATTCTCTTCATCTGTTCCTGTTCACTTCACTCAAAGAGCTTCAACCCACAGAGCTGCACCTCTGCTGCTATGCTCTTCATTCAAGTTATGGAAACAATCAGAACTTGGCATCTTACTTGAAATAAAAATTTTATAATATAAATAAAAATCAATTAATATCTTACTTGAAATAAAATATTTCAATCTGAATCTATATGAAAACAATATTAGCGTATTAATTATAATAACGATTACAGCGATGAAAGCTGATGCAATACAAGGATTATCAGAGCTCAGGTGGAATAAGTCTCGAGCGCAATATTGGGTTAAACTGCCAGTGTTCAACACATAAATTCGCTTCACACTTTTCACGAACTTGAAATTAATATTTTTTCATTATCAACGTTCTTCGATCTTCATAACTTCTAAATTAAACTAAATTCAGGATAAAAATCAAGCTCTGATGCTATTTGAGGCCAAGTTTGTTTGATAACATTTGCTTCTATTTTTAAATAAGTTGAGTTGACACTATCTAAAAACGAACTCAGCCTTCGAATGTTGGCGGAGGATTGGTTATTTTTCACGAAATATTTAAGAATAATGAGTCAACATTGAATATAATCGACTATTCATAATTAATAAATATAATAGAGTAAGACCGAGCAGATATTATACACGAGCGTGGCTGCGCTCTTTGCTCTCAGAAACGAGTTGAGGGAGGAGCTTCAACCTGAGCACGGCGCGCAGGTGTAACGATAAACGAAATGTTGTATTTTTCCTATACAATACGTGGAATAAGCTTATTCGTTTCTGTTTATAGACTAGACATCGCACGGAGCAAGTGTTAGCATTATTGTAGAGAATAGGTGCCGAACACTGCCATTTGCAGCAAATGAACGGAGTTCCACGTGGCATATTAGGGTCTTTGATATGTGTTGTTTCTTAAATGGAACGTATGAATATACCAATTTTAAATATATTTTTTCACTTATAACAAGTTCTTTCATTCACAATCTCTCAGCAGAAAAAGTGCACGCCGTTATTTCCGATCAATAAAATAGACAAATAAACTATATAACGCAAAACAAGATCATATTTTGTTCAAGTCACGTGAAAGCCACATTACAAGGCATCGTGTTGCTGATACCTTCCTGTTAAATCTCTTTCCTTGTTCTTACTCGTAATAAGTAAGAACGTTTCCTCATTCGAATAGCATTTTAAAATCAAAGATCAAACTTTTTGAGACTAGATCACTAAACATCATTGCTAGGAAAGAATTCACTGCCACGTATTTCATATCCTCTCATGACGTTAGTCGACGTATACTAACATAATGAATGACCACCATACACTTGCTGCGCACCTGTTTACCGTATGTACCGCCCATATCACTTACCAGCCCTCAAGGTAATTGCTAAAATTTGAGATCTGATCAGTTTCATCGACAGCGCAGTTGGGTGAAGAGCTGAAAAGCTACAGAGAACAGGTGAGATACTTTCCTCCAATATTTACTTCACTATGAATTCTTCCTGTGGTGTATATTTGAATGATATCTGAAAATATTGGAATAACTTAAGTTTACTGTAATAGCCACCGCGCACATTTATCTATAAAATATAACTTAGAATAAGTGTATATAAATGATTATTTAGTTTAGCAATACTTTACGGCCATTTGATTTATACTTACCACTAAAAATCCGCTGTTTAAGTCAACTTAAGTTTAATTTAAAGGCAAAATAGTAACCGGTTTCTGCATATGTTGGTTTCTGAGTATATTTGCTGTATAGAAGAAGAAAGATTGATATGTTGTATCTCCTAATTGATGGAAGGAAAGCTCCCAAGTTAATTTGTTTCCTGCGTGTCTAAATTTTATCGTAATTTACTACTTAAGGCGGCGATGAATGGTTTTAGATTAGAATTTTCATGCTTCGTGGAATCAAGCGTAAAGTAATGAAATACTTATAACATATATTAATTTTTCACGTAGTTTACATTAGATACGAAGTATAAGAGTGAAGCTCGAACCAAACACGGGCTCGAGATTATTGTACGCATTTCTATTCATACGCCAGACCTGCACGCATAATTAATTTACGGTTATCAATATATTACGCTGTGTAGATGAGACCCCACGGTCTACGTGTGCCCAAATGAGATTAGATCTTAGGCATTTGTGACTCTTATTTTGATATATTTAATAAGAGAGGACGAACCTAACGTTGCTGTTACATTTAATGCAATTAATAATTGACGACGTTGACGTTCAATGATTACAACACTTCTCTGTAATTTCACTTCTCGTTTGTCCGCTACAAATCTTATAATCGATATTTAACACACTTCTACCTGTCCAATCGATCTGAAAATTTGCACACATGCGTAAAGTCGGAGACAATGCTTGAAGAAATTTACAACAAATAATTTTAAAAATTTAAAAAAATTAAATTTTTTTTAATATTGAAAAATAAAGTAAGAAATTCATTGTACATGTGTAACATCGGAGACACTGGCCTCTTTAGAAGTGTTGTCTTCAAAAAATAATTTTAAATGTATATTGTTATCAATAAAAACGATCTTTAATTGGACCGTTGTTCATTCTGAATCGAGCGTTAATCTTACAATTTAGATTAGAATAAAGAAGGAAAGTTGCAAGCAACATCGTGTACTGAATGTTGGAAAATTTGAGCAGCTTGTATTGATGAATTATCTCCTAATTTTGTCTACCGACTGCAATCATTATTTCATCAAAGATAAGAGTAATCCATAAGGTCATGTATCATGGGAGACTGAAACCTAAATTAATGAAGTAAAATTTTCTAAATTCTAGTACATGATGTCTTAATATGTATGTAATTAATTATTTTCTATCGCATTACATATATGTCTTTTCGGAGTAGAAAAAACATGCTTAAAAACCAAAAGACGCTCATTCCTTATTCCCCTGCCGTTATTCCATTGCATTAGAAACTGTGCTCGACGAGCTGTGATTTGCTGAATGGTAGTTATCAAATCAAATGTTGAATGATAGTTATTATTTGCTTCAAATGACTTGCTATGCGAAGTTATGGTGCATTAAGTGCAGCGTAAAATGAGTGGTCCTGATTTAAGTTTTGTGTTCTTGGAGTTGATATGTTCATATACATAAAATTTTGCTCTCTGTGCGATGAGATCTCTAATGTATTGGACAATGTGTGCCCTAATTGATTATACGGTATTCTATCGCATTGAATGTTAATCCTCTTCTTTCCCGCAGGACATTCTCCACGGAAATTGTGTACGCTGAAGTTTCACCGTGATTCGCCCTTTCTTCATCAACTCCTCACGCTCCTCCGGACCGCAACGCCGTAGCCATGAAAGTCGCGTCCAAAGCCTGCGCGGTGATCTTCCTCGGGCTGGTGGGTGACGGGGCAGGTTTAAGACATCGGGTGGGGTTGCGGCGCAGGCTTAAGACATCGAGTCGGGATTGCAAGGCAGGTTTAAGACATTAGGTGGGGTTGCGGGGCAGGTTTACGACTTCTATCTGGTGTGGCGGCGGGGCAGGTTTAAGTCATCAGGCGGGAGTGGCGTGGTGGGCTTAATTAAGACATCAGGTGGAGGTTGCCAGGATGGTTCATGACATGAAGTGAAAATTTCATTCGATTTTAAAGTCTTTCCCAAATTTCATTTCTTACATCATTGCTAAAGATGTTTATGAAACCTGCAGCTTACTTCGATTAATGGAATAACGAATTATAGCGTTGGCAATCATGAAATTCCTCACATTATATTGTTGGTCCATAACTAGCAGCGTTGTGCACATCTGCTCAGTTGAAGTCATCGAACATCTTGTAATTTTGTCTTTCAATGAGCGAGCTAAGCTGATCGTCTTGTTCATGCTAACTGCGATTAGTCTAAACTGTAACGGGGTCCTTTTCTAGAATGATCTATTGTGGTGCCCTCTTATCGAATTATATGATGTTGTGGAACATTATTCTTGAATGGGGTTTTTTTGCGAAACCTGTTTTATATTGATCATATTGCTGCGGAGCCTTGTTCTAGACTGATATAATGTTGCTCAGACCCCTTCTAGAATTAAATATTGTTATCGAGCCCTCTTCTGAAATGATATATTGTTGTAGAATCCACTTCTGGAATGATCTTATTATTGCGGGGCTCTCTTCCATTATGGTCATAACGATGTGGAACCCTTCTAGAATGATCGTATTGTGGCGGGGCTCTCTTCTAGAATGATCATTTTATTGCCAAGTTTTCTACTATAATGATCGCATTGTTGCTGAGCTCTACTTAAAAAAGATCTTATTGTTGCCGTGCCATCTTCTATAATGATATTCTGTCGTTGAGCTTTTTTTCTGGATGATATATTATGTTGGGGCCTCTTTTTTAATTATCCTCTCATTGCATTGCTTTCTTCATCAATTATCGTATCGTTAAAGAGCCCTCTTCTGACCGGATCATGTTGTTGCTGATGAGCTGCTTTCTTTAAGGATCGTATTGTTGAGAAGTCCTCTTCTAAAATACTCATATTGTTGTTGAGCCTTTCTTTAAAATGATCGCATTGTTGCAGGCTACTCTTCTAGATGCATCATGTTATTGCTTACCCTCTTATAGAATCATATGCAATTTTGGAACAATCTTCTAAAATGATTGTATTGTTGTGAAGCTATCTTACGGGATGATCGTGTTTTTGCTGTAGCCTTTTCTATAGGTAACATAATATTGTAGAATCCTTCTCTTGAATAATTGTATTTTCATGGAGCCCTGCTCCTGAATGAGCGTATTTTTGTATAATTTTTTCTAGATTTATCGTATTGGTACAGATACTTGCTCTAGAATGATTATATTGTTTAGAGGTATATGGCATATTATTGTAAAGCCCTATTCTAGAAAGATAGAATTTTTGTAGATATCTCCTCTAGAATGAGGGTATTCATGCAAAGCCCTCTCATAAAATAATGGTATCAATTGTTCTTCTAGGATGATCGTATAGTTTTGGAGCCTGTTCAAAAATGATCGAAATTTTGTGGTACCCTCGCTAAGAACTAATGATCCATAGATGTGGAGCTCTCTTCTAGAATGATCGTAGTTATGTGAAACAATGAGCAATTTTCTGAATGATCGAATTTTTGCGGAGACTTTTTCTCGAATGAGTGTATGGTTGCAGAACCATCTATAGATTGATCGTATTGTTGCGGAGCCATCTTCTAGTCTAATCATATTGTAGTTGAGCCTCTTGTACAATGATATATTATTGATGAGCCTTCGTCTGGGAAGGGTTATTGTTCTGGAGACCACTTCTGGCCTAATCGTATTGTAGCGGAAAGTTTTCTAGAATGTTATAAGGTAGCTCAGTCTTTTTCAAGAATAATATGTTGTTGTGAAGTCTTCTTAAATCGTATTGTTACGGAGCACTCTTCTAGAATGGTCGTAATGTTGTGGATCCCGCTGTTTGAATGCTCCTTTTCTTGTGAAACTTCTTTATAGTTTGATCGTATTGTTGAGAATCCCTGTTCTAAAATGATACATCGTTGTAAAGCCAACTTATGGGAAGATATATGATTATTGAGCCCTCGTCTAGTATGCTATATTGTTATGGAGCGCTCTACCAGCATGACATAATGTTGCTAAGCCCTCATCTAGAATGATTTATTGTTGTTGTGCCTTTAACAGACATGACATGTCTTAGTGACATCTTTTAGAATGATCGCATTGTTGTTGAGGCTTCTTCTACAATGACTATTGTTGAGGAGCTTTCTTCTAAAGAAGCTCTCATCTAGTTATTAACTCTAGCAAAGTCCTTACCAGTAAGTAGAAAATATATGTGAGCCTTATTTGGAATACTCGTATTGTTGCGTGTCTTGGCTAACATGATCGTAGTGTCGTGGAGCTTCTACTAGAATGCTCGTATCTTCGATGAGTCCTCTTCCAGGATGTATCATGTAGAGCCACTGCTAGAATAATCAAAATATATTGGTGTTGTAGCAGGAAATCACTACTATGCACTGGTCGTGAACGTCAGTATTTTGTACATTGCGATGCTAATCGGCTAAAAAATGAAAATGAAAGGTGAAAATGAAAGGATCTGAATCTAATATTTAAATGAGAAAACATCGGCAAAAACAAGTTATACGTAATTTACCCAGATCATTTCGGTAAAGATCGATTAATCCGCTCACCTTAATCATACACAGGCGACCTAACACCAGATCGTTATAACTCTTACGGACAATCATCGTTGACTAACGTACCATTGCACTGTGACTTACATATTACAGGCTTTTTAATCCAAACATAGTAAGATGGTGAAATGTGCACGGCAAGATTATCACAGCATAAACGCGTTGGCATAAGATGGATGTTGACTATTAATATGTTAAATATTCAGTATGTCAATTAATCAAACTCGGAAGAAACTATCTGTCCAACATCTCACGTCTGATAATATCCACTGTCTACCTCCTCTCGCTCGTCTCTCCTCTTTTATCATATAAATGCCTCAAACCTTTTCCCAATATAGGAGCGGAACTCCATAAAATTTTGATCAATAATCTTCCAATAAAGTTTATTAATTATGATAAGAATAGTTTGCAGCGAATAAATGAATAAAAGAATCCTACGAAATATAAATCTAAAATTTCTACTAATAAGCAATCATAATGATTATGAGAGCTTATAATCATTACAGAGCCTTCGTCAAGATTGAGCGAATTCATGAGAAGCCCTTTTTACAAAAATGATCGTATTGCTGTATTGCTCTCTTCACGAATGATCGTATTGTTTAGAGCCCTCTTCACGAATGATCGTATTATTAAGAACCCTCTCCACGAATGATCATATTACTTAGAGCCTTTCCTGGAATGATCGAAATGTCGTGGAGCCCTCGTCATGAATGATTGCTTTGTGGCGTTGCACTTATCTAAAAGCGTCGTGTTTTACCGAAGCCCTCTTTTTGGATAATATTTTATTGTTGAATCCACTTCACAATTGATGTGTTGTTGCTTCGTCCTCTTCTAGATTGATATATTGTTGTGAAATCTCTCTTCTTGAATTATCGTATTGTTGTGGAGCCCTCTTCTACAATGGCTGTATTACTGAGAATTAAGCCCTCTTCTTTATAGATAGTATTGATGCGGAGCCCTTTTCGAGAATGATTTACATTGTTATTTTTTGAAGAATAAAGTTATCTTTGAGGAGCCTTCTTCTAGAATAACGGTATGGTTGAGGAACCTTCTTTCAGAATGATCGTGTTGTTGCTGAGCCATATTTTAGACTACTCGCATGCTGCTGAGCCCACTTCTTGAACGATTGTATTTTGTAGACCTCTTACAGAATTATCTCTATTTTGATGTAGCCCTCTTTTAGAATAATATTATTGTTGATAAGCCTTATCTACAATGATCGAATTGTTGCTGAGCTCTGTTCTAAAAAATTTTACGTGTTACTCAACTCTCTTCCTGAACAAAAAATTGTTGCTGAGGCCTATTCTAGAAATATATAGGGTGTTGAACCCCCTTCTAAAATGATTATTGTTGTTGAATCCTCTTCTAAAATTATTGTATTGTTATGGAGCTATTTTCTGGAGAAGGTAAAATAAAAAGAAATAATTGCAAGGAATGGCTAAATAGTTTACCCATATCTAGTGAATTTGTGACTTAGATCATGCGTTTCTCTGTCCCGCCTTGTTTTGTTCTACAGTGTCCTACAGGATGGTATTTCTGAATCATTATAAATCATCTGCAGATAAACTCGTAGGACCTAATTCTAACCATATGTCTCTGATATCCATCTATTAGAGTAATGAGCCAGACATCGTCCAAATATTGATGCATTTTTCCCCTTGTGAGGGTTTGGAAGACTTTGATTTTGTGTTTCAGGTCGCCATTGCGCTGATGTAGACTTTGTTTTTGTGTTTCAGGTCGCCATTGCGCTGATGTAGACTTTGATTTTATGTTTCAGGTCGCCATTGCGCTGATGTAGACTTTGATTTTATGTTTCAGGGCGCCATTGCGCTGATGTAGACGTTAATTGTGTTGCAGGTCGCCATTGCGCTGATGTAGACGTTGATTGTGTTGCAGGTCGCCATTGTGATGACGTAAACTTTGATTGTGTTGCAGGTCGTCGCTGTGCTGATGTAGACCCGTATTGTGTTGTAGGTCATCGCATCCTTGACGTATATCTGATTATGTTCCATGTCATCACATCGTTGACGTTGATCTGTTTATGTTCTACTTCGTATCGCTGACTTAAGCATTGATTGTGTTGCAGGTCGTCACGGCGCTGACGTCGGCTGAGCAGGAAAGCAGAGCTGGCACCACTGCAATGCGCGATGTGAGTTTAGCAGAGATTATTGGCCCACGCGAAATATAAAGTGTGCGTAGAAAATGTGGCTTTTCACAGACGCAATGTTAATTTTATGATGGATTATGGTAAGTCATCTAGTAACCTCAAAATATAGGATTATACTTTATATCTGCATCTGATCACATGTCTTGAATGATTCTATCTTGTGAATGAAACAACTACGAATGCTGAATAAACCAGAGGCCACCGCTGCCAGCGAGAGATCTTAGTAACTGGAGGCATCAGAGCAGACGCGGGAAGAAGCTCCACGGAAACGCAACTTGAAAGTTCAAAACGAACTAATAGGGTCAAAGGGAGACAGCAAATGTTATAGCAGATCACGGACGATGTTTCATCAATTTAACCTGTAGTGCCGCAATTCAGTATCTTGCCTCATATGTAAGTTAAATGTGTAGTAGACCGCATATTTCTGTCACCGTTAACCAATAGAATGCTTTTTAGATTTCTTTCGTGGCTAAGAAATATGTTCAGTAGTTTCAGCAGTTGTAGTGTAAAGAAGTGGCCTTGGAGGCAGCATCCAAGAGGGCCGTTGCTTTTTTGTTTACTGTCAGACAGAAAAGCAACAGCTTTCACAAACCTACACAAGGTACAGATCTTGCCTCCTTTCTCCCAGCATAAGATGCACTCTTTCTCACGCCTTTTCAAGATCATTCCCTGGATACTCCCCAATACCTTTTCATACAATGCCCAAAACTTCAAAATCCAAACCGCAGAAAGTCCAAAAAATTATTACTATTCATCATGAACATACACTGTCAGACCTTCACAAATAATTTTCAAACAATGCAGCATTCCCCCTGATAAACATAGTCCTCCAGCAACAAGCTCGCACAGCCTGGTCCACGAACAAAATACATGACTCATCAATTGACTCATATTTTCTCCAGACCTCATTGCAAGACAACACAGACAGTTTCAAAGTTTCAAATAATTGCAAAAGGATCTCCATTACACGGCGGGCCAATTGTACTTTGATGACGATTGTCCTGATATAGGCTCCCATTACTCCCCCCGACCTTTGGGCCAAACGAAACTTTCTAGCACAACTCGCGAAGTAGGAAACCACACCGATGACGAAATCAAACATGAAATTACGATTCAACAGACTTTGTGACACATACAGGACGTCACAATTCAAATTAAAACAATAAATTTGAATTGAATAAATAACAAATTCAATCAATAAGTTCACAATTTAAATTCAAACAATACACCCACTTCATCATAATAGCTACCACAGAATCCACAATAGCCCAACGCATTCTTACAAATGGAATTGACATGTACAATACCAAAACCACCCCATTACAATGCGAACAAGAACACTACACACACCTACTCATCTGCTATAAATACTACAAAATAGAAGACCACCCTACACATCAATGCACATCCACCACTCCCTATTGCTCTGAATGAGCCGCCTATGCACTAACACCTACAAGAAATGTCTAAACTGCTACAATGACCACCGCAGACTAGCCGCAAAACCGCCCTACCAATAAGAAAAAATACAATGCAAACTGCAGTCACAACAAAAACAATCAAAAATAAAATATTTGTATGCATAACAAAACAAGCAATCCAACAAACATACCTCAACATAGCCTGACGCTGACTGACATACACAATTAAAACTGGCTGCAATAATACTGAAGGCACATATTGCCAGCCTCCGGCGACAGGAGGGGTGCGGCAGCATACTACCCGAATCACTGAAGACCAACTACGACATTGACGCGACTTTTCCTGGCAGAGACTCTGCCAAAATATTCACATTTTTTAACACCGACTTCAACCTCCAAACTGAATTTATTGATGACGACGACAAGAGACGGCCCTCAATAAACATAGCACAAAGACAAACATTAGACGAGATCCCTCAGAACGTCCCTCTCCTTCCGACAACCGAAATTCATTACGAAGATCGCGATCCCAGAAAACGAAGAAATAGTGACGATCAATACGGAGAAATATCCATTTCAATGCCAGGAAAAGACGAATTAATAGCTGTTAATAGACTATTTAATAGATAAATAATAGACTATTTAAAAGCAACAGACCCCGACCCAATCCCTGCCGTCCCTCACAACATCTGGTATATTGACTAACAAGAAAGAACGAATTCGCACTGAAGATCTCCCTAAAAGACATAGACTACTCCAAAATCATGGACTATTTGAGAAGAGACAAATTAAAATTCAACAGGCCTACATTCAATATCATCCTTCAAGACACGTTATTTACCATGGACAGATACACAACCCCGAAAACAACCAACGTTAAAAAGTCGAATAACTCCACGTTCAAACACCCATCACAATGACACCCCAGCCCTCACTTAAGATAATACAACACAACGTCCGCCACTGGTACAACAGATTCACTCATGCAAACATATAATACCACATGGACCAAGACATAATACTAATCAATGGTCACTTCATTACCGACGAGAAAACTCCACTCAAAATATTCAATTACAACGTTCACACCTGCAAAAAAAGACTCAATCCACTCCGGTGCAGCCATCGCAATCAAACGCCATATTCCATACAAACTACACGACAACTTCCATACAGATATGCTCACAATCACAATAGATACCCAATAAGGGCCCATCACAATTGGAACGACATACATTTGACCTCGTATAGGCTACATCAACTACATTGACTTCCTCACACTTTTGAATGGTCCCCATCCGGTATATCTCCTCGTAGAGTTAAATGCTAGACATACCACATTAGGAAATTCCTCTTCCAAGCACATAGGTAAAAAATTATACTCACTCATTACCCGACACAAGTGCACCAATATCCATCACAACTAGAATCTATCATCACATCGTCTGACCACAAATCTATATGATAGCCACAATTTCTGTTAGCCTCGTATAAATTCTCGTTTGTTCCTGCAGGTCTTTCGTTAGTGCTAACTGAACCCAATACAAACAAACATTTCCCCAGCACACAGTACCTACACAACCAGACACTAAATTAGAAGAACTGGACACACTTAACAATAAGTGGACAAAACTTGTACAGAACAAATCCGATACATCCAATACACACCATAACACACCGTATCGTTCCAGGCGTCAAACCCACTCACCCAACACTTCCACCAAACACTTCTTATACAAACACAATATCAAGTCGCCCTTCAATATAACAACGACCACGGTCCATCGCTGGCACTCAGTAAACAACTCATCACCCTACGCCAAGTACCCACATCACGCAGGCGCCTCCAAACATGACAGAATCTCATCAAAACTTTGGATACACACAGACCCTATAAAATTCTTCCCTAAACGAACAATATGCAACACGGCATACCAGAACAAAAAATTATTTTCAGCCAAAACTGGTAGGACATATTCACTTCATTCATTATGTTCAACACACAGACAAAAAGGACTTTGGCCAAACATCAGCACTACTCAAGACTACTTGATAATCAAGTCACACTTCGTTCAGTCACACAATCATGGCAACCTTACCAGTTCCCACCCTACAGCTCTCACTAAAGACATTTGAGCATGAAACACCCAGTGTTGAATCTTGGTTTGCTGTGCAAAATCTAGGCGATCTTAGTTCACAATCCCGGCGTTCAAAACAAATTCGATTTTTCTGCTTGATCTGATGCCAATAGATCTCAATATATTAATTACGTCAAGGATGCAAAACTGACTTACATTTATTATTTCCTTTATCTCAAACATATTTACTGCTTACTTTCGTAAGCACCCGAAAGTTGATCATCGAATACATTTTCGTCGCTTTCAATGTTAAATTCTACCATCGTAAAATTCTATATAGAATAGAATAGAAGTGTCGGCACTGAAGAAATAGGCCCATGGCCTGTTGCCGATTTTTGAATTTTTCGTGTCTTGATTCACAAGGGATCCGGCCTTTGGAACCCGATCTTTCCATAGCTGACGATTGATTAAGATAGCTGCTGAACTTATTGCCTGGTCCGTAATTTGCTAGGCATTTTAAGACTGAACATATGCTCTTGCATAGCTTCGTCTAGTCTGCTCTTGAAGGCTATTGTGAATCGCAAGAAGAGCTAATGGTTGAAAACTAACTACGGAACGCATTGGACACAAGAATCTGAGATCGCAAATAAATCTTTTGATTGACAAAATATTTAACTTAAATAAATTGTACAAACTCAAAAATTCAAAATAATTAAATCTCACATCTGGCACTCAATCTGGCACTCAACAAACAACTCATCACCCTAATGAACAGGCTATGGGCCTATTTCTTCAGTGCCGACACTTCTACATATTCTATTCTACCAAATTATGAACATTAAACGAATAATTTACAATTAAAATCATATCATAATTTCAAAAACTAAACTTCTCACCGGAAAGCGAACGCCCTCCAAATACCGATCTCAGTACTTATTCTGTGGTTGGATCTCCTCCCTCGTTGATTATTGGATGTTGTCCGGTTAAGTCTTCTCCAGTTGTCAAAATCTAAAACACCTCCCAATCTTCTAATCGTCGTTTTGGAAGAGGTCCTCACTCTCGCTTATCCATTCTCGTACCTCTGACATGTTTACACAATGATGAAGTACTTATGAGATTGATCTTCTTGCTTTGATTATCCAAAATCTTGTCGGCAACTTTTCAATGAGGAGCTGTACGTGTTCCTACTCGACAATAACTCTGTTGACATTCCTTATCATTTCTCGTACCGTCCCATGTCTTCCGGGCATTAAGATATGATAACGAAACTCTTCTTTGTCGCCGCTGTTAATGATCGTCGTCTTGACTTTTAATATACCATGAGACGCTTCACAACTTAGAGTCTCTTGAAAGAGTTTTTGCCTAAGCCATCTTCCTGAATATATTTAATCAGGTATGGCTCTGCACGACGTAACTCCAACTAACTCGACTGCTTCCTAGAGTGGACGAAATATTTCTTGTCCATCAGTAACTCTAAAAATCGCATCCGCCAGGAGAAAATCCACACAGGATATTGAAGGAAATATGTTTGAGATGAAAGACTCATGCTTCGGGTTTCACAACCATGTCAGCTCTTTCTTGCTTCGGGTTTGTTGAATTTGGGCCATTGATTACAAAATTTGATCCAAATTGTGCCCTCTCACCAGTTTGATGTCACTAGTTTTTCTGCTGGACTAGTCTTGTGAAAGAAGGTCGTCTGGGTTCCTTTGACCAGAGATGTGGTTCCATTACTCGGACTCCAGACGCTTCTTAGAATGAAAAAGTTATTGGCTTAATCCATTGGTTATTTTGCCTTGCACGGGAGGTTGACTGTATATCGTCCTTCTTATTTTCTCTTGGTGGTCTCATGAAAGGCAGAGATTGCTTCAGTTTTCTCTCTATTTTCACTTAACTTGCTAATGGGATCCTTGATGCCCAACAACTCCAAATCCCATAGCTTCGAAGTATCTTGCTGGGCGCAAAACATGTCGTCTATTGAGGTTTATCCTTGGGAATCGCCGACGAGACCGCTAATTGTCTATCTAAACCTTGTTTCCAAGCTGCAAGGCAACTGCCCATACAGATCCACGCGTGCATCCTTCTTCGCAAAAGCTTAATAATCTGAACAAATTATATTATCTATTTCGCTCCGTTTTACATAAATCGTTGACAAGTCACTTATGGAGGATTTTGGGCACTCAAGTCTTTCCGCTAAGAGGCCTGCTGGCACACGAGGAATGCCTCTTTCCAAATTAGTTTTCCTCCATAGGATCATCTGCATCCTTCTCTTTTCCTCTATTCCCGTGATAATTATATTATGACGGATGGTTTTTCTAAATGGAATAACGCTGCCATCCGGAAGCATGTCTCTGGATACATTCTCTCCCACCGGTTGACTCCTCAATTCCTTCACCAAGGATGAGGTTATGGAACTCCTTTGACTTCACTCATCAAATAATAGTCTCACTGTTTGGGGTTGACTGGATTCCGAGCTTCGCCCTTTTACCAGCATCGAAATTTGTTGTTACACTGGGTGTTATACTGATAGGCGGCCGTCTCTGGGTTAATTAAGGGTATTGGTTAACTACGTTTCAGACGGTTCTGACTGCCTTACTTTCTAGTGACCTCGCTCCTTTTGCCAACTGGCGGCAAATGTAACTGTTTTTAGCTGCTGTGTTTTTTTGCTGTGTTTTGTAACTGTTTTTAGCTGCTCTTGTGTTTTTAGCTGCTGATTTGACACTTTGTAAGCGCGACTGCTACGCCTGCCGCTCTTACTTTGATCAGTGCCTACCAGACAAACGAAACTTTATCCGTGCAGGGACGTAAGGTTGGATTTTTGTTTATTTATTGGTAACGAAGGCACTGGTAATAACACAAAATGAAGCCAAAATAAACTCAGTTATGAACTCAATATAAACTCAAAGTGAACCCAACGGACTGATCGTGATAACTGAGTTAGGTTCTGTAAACAAAGAATAACAAACTTATGATGTAGCAATAATACTTAAGCTTAGTTGTTCCTAGCAAAATTACTATTCATAAACACACAACACAAATTTAAATGTCACAATATAACTATTCACAAATATCACGCACAAATTTACATATCACAATATAACTATTCACGAAAGATTTAACATCAATGAAGTGCAACGCGCTTCTCGACTGACTTCTCAATTTCTCCTTAATCTTTCTGGAAACGCTCTGCCTCCTCCTGTTCTTTTCCAAACTTCCCTAGTGGTACCGCAATAACAAAAAGCTTCAACCTAAAAGATGACTCCCCGATCTACTTCCTGAATCTCTCCCGTCTTACTCACCATCATCATATTCACCATAGTCATAATCACCTCATATATCCCCCACCATCATTTCTTCAAACTGAAAAATGCCACAGAAAACTAGAAAAATTAACTAAATTGAAAAGGTGAGAAACGCAAGTGTATCGATAGTATTTAATATATTTTTCTTCAATCCCTGTTTGAATATGTAAATACTGTAGATAACATTAACTGTCTCCCACTCTTCAGTCATCCACACAAGCTATAAAATTTCTAACAGATTTCCGTCTCCCTTCGCTTCCCCAAACCAACCCTACACACATACAACCAACCTAATTATGCGCCTATCTTCGTCTCCTACTGTCTTACCAGTTTATCCTTCTTCTATTTTTGGCCACTCTGTGCCACCTATTTCTCTTTTTCCTATTATCCCCCAAGGGCACCACGAACATTACACCTAAGAGCCCTGAACCGTGTAATCAGCCAGGAAATGAATACTTTCCAAAAAACCCTAAGCGACGGCGATAATCTTCGTTGATTCAGAGTATCTCATTATACGTTCATAAATGATGGTCATTTGTATGATATATCATCTCACACAATTGTATATAGTGTTTCAATTACTTAAATCAGTATTGTGGCAAAAAAACTGGTTTCTTTATTTATAAATCACAATAGTATTCTAGATTTGGAATTGTTTAAATTTTTTAGATTTGGAAGCGCATGACTCCATCACCCTGTTACACTGCTTTTGACAACAGTTGTATATTTTTCGTTCTGTTCTCCCCTGATTGCTGATTGATCATGACTTGTTTACTATCCCTGAACTTGAACCTACTGCACAGTTTGTGCTCGCTGGTGGCGTCAAGAGCAACTTGTTCGCGACGTGCTCCGCTCTCGCCAACACCGTCACGGGCGACCTGTTCTCCATTGACCTCGGAGGCGGCAAAGAATACCAAAGATTTGCCCCCAAGAATTCGATTGCTGTTGATTGGGTGAAGCTGAACAGCAGCGGCGCATCGACGGACATCATCGCCTGCTCGGCCGCCGCTTATGCGAGGAGTGAGTTGAAGTAACGGGCACAATTACAGCGAATAAGATTAGGCTTATTTCACATTTGATTGTAGTGAATTGCATTCAAACTTGATTGATGAAATTTTGTGCAAAATAATTGTAATGAATGTTAGTTTCATTCATAAATATTACTTTAGTTAAATATATGATTCAAGTAAGTTGTGCCCTCAAAATGTGTGCCCTCAAAGATGTATTTAAGTATGCTAGATTTTCAATGATTATCATGTGCTTCAAACGCATCTATGTTTGATTTATATAAATTTGATTCATCTCAGATTGGTTCAATAAAGTTTGTTTTGTACGCGCTTGATTCATTTGAGTTTGATGCACGATGTTTATTTTAACTTCGTACGTTCGACATATGAGAGTTTGGGTCATCCTGGTTGAATGAAATTTTGTTTAGTGAATTTGCGTTTTGACGAAATATTCTTGATTTAGTGTGCATGATCCAAATAAATTAAACTCATCGGAACTGTATTCAAATAAGTTTATGTATGTGTGACTGATGAACGTTTCATTTATTTATGTTGTGTTTATTTTAGAAATGATTCGTGCATATTGTATTCATGTTCACTGTATTCACTTAAGTTTGATTCATAGAATAGAATAGAATTGAATGGAAATAGAAATAGAAGTAGAAATAGAATAGAATATAATAGGCTTATTTGATCGTAGTGAATCGCATTAAAACCTGATTATTACTGAAATATTAAAAATGTCTCAATTCATGTTATTACTATTTTTATTATTGTACTGAAATAAATTGTCATTGATGCTATTTTCATTCGTGAATATTACTTTAGTGCATATTTGCTTCAAATAAGTTATAAAATGAGTGCCTGTAAAGTGGTATTTACCTCCGAGTGCTTTCTAAATGATTGGCATATGCCTTAGACGATCGAATATATAAGTGTGATTCACGTATATTTTATTCATGGATGAATATTTGATTTTTTAAATTAGTACATTGAAGTTTTGTTCGTGTAAGTTTAATGCTCGACGTTTGACTCAATTATGCTAGATTTTAAGAGTTTGATTCATGTTAATTAAATGAAATTTTGATTATTGAATGTACGGTTTACCGAAATCGTTTTTATAGTATGCTTGATTTGATTAAATCGATTCATGGAAATGCATTTCAAATTAGGTTTATGGTGACATTTTCAACCTTGCATCTTTGATTCATGTGTGTTTGATTCATGCTTGTTGAATTCATATATTTTGCATTCATATATGTTATTTTCGGGCATATTTGATCCAATTATGTTTTATTCGTTCAAGTTTTATTTACGTATGTATGATTCGTGTAAGTTTAATTCATGGACTTTGATTCATATAAAATCAATTCATGAAATTTCGATTTGTGCAAGTTTTTCCACGAAAGTTTACGTTACTGAATGTTATTCAAGTTCATGTCTGTTAGATTTCCACGAAGGTTAATAATAATAGTTTCTTCATGTTTGATTCACGCAAGCTTGATTCAAGCAAGTTTTATTCATACAAGTTTGATTCCTGCAAGTTTGACTCAAGTAATCCTTCCTCCTCAGACGCTCACATGTTCAAGTTCAACGGCTCCTGCTATGCAGGAGAGGTGACTGGCAATATTCTGTACGGCTTCCTGTACGACGAGCAGGACTGCGGTGACGCGCCTGCTGAAGTTGTGTACGTCATGCCGCCTCGTAAGTTGTCTACGTCATGACGCCTCGTAAGTTGTTTACGTCATGACGTCTCGTAAGTTGTCTACGTCATGACGCCTCGCAAGCTTTCTACGTCATAACGCCTATTAAGTTGTCAACGTAATTGTTCATTGTAAAGTTTGTGTCCTCGTAAGTTTCTACTTCATGGCTCTTGTGCAGTTAATTGTTCAAGTTGAAACTAATCTTCTGTGTTATTCAACTAATCTGTATTCTTCATCGGTATATCTTGTGTGGATTAGTTAACACCCAAATAGAAACGAATATGAATCTCAAGTAAAATAAGAGTAAAGCCAAAACAGGCAGGAGCAGATTTTGTACGACGATGTTATCCATGTTATCTAGGAAACCTAACACAAGCACACGATCCAGCAAAGACTTCAAAATATAACATTTGACGCTATGCCCTTTTATTTAATTTATTATTGTGAGGAGGGCGCTGACTTAGAACTGGTATCAGGTATACACAGCAGGGAGTAAGATACTGCGAATTGTGTTGAATGATCAGCTGCCTCCTATGAGAGGCCAACCACTGACTTTAATGTTTGCTGATAAAAACCACAGGAAATGCTGATTCTTGTTGCTTCGCGATCTTTCACCGTCTGGCGCCCCAACTGAATAACATTTTTTCGTTTATTTGATTGACATTGACAGAAGCCAGCCACCGGCCGCCAAACCTGCAGCGGTGTTCAATTTAAAATTAATAAGTACCATGTAACTAACAAAATGATTTTTAACAGGGATATAAACAAACCTAAAAGTCTTCAACCGTCATGCTTAATGCTCGAGACGATATTTTAAAATCAATATCATTACAAAAATTGTAACAAAATGCATGGCCTCTAATATTAGCTCCACGGCACCTGTACGAGAACAACGGATTAAATTATTTATGTTTACAGTTCAAGGACAACTGATCGGAAACACCTTCCTTTTCTACACAGTGTCCATGTCTGACGGGTGCATCCGCGGCAACAGCGACAACACAGGTCTCGTCTTCAATGGTCAGTGAACTGACTCCAGAGAGATAACACTATTTTAGATATTATGTGTGTGCGGATTTGATTTAATTTAAGCCAAACGGGGGCTCTCCAGCGGCTACGTATGTGGTACTGTTCAATGGTCCTTTCTCACGCCTTCCGGATCAGCCAGCTCTGTGACGTGGGCGCGTGTCACTAGAAAAGTGTGACTTATTCTTTTCTCTGCCTATGTGTAGAAATTTTGCTAAACGTGGAACTGCACGAAAAACATCTACCTGTAATTCAGTTCTTTTAATTTCCACCGTTTTGCCTCCTTCTTTCCCTCATGACCCGATGGGTTTGCACAACTCAAGATAATTGGCGTTACGATCTGACTGATCAACTAAAAATTTACCATACGACTTCTAACGAAGTTAAAGCCCCACTAATTTGACTTACAGACGCTGCCACCTGATTTTACGCCACAGCTGATGACGCGACTGCAATTGACAAGCTCACCTTTAAAAAGCTGCTGATGCATCTCATAAAATCAAAATGACTTTTATCGCATACCCCCAACCTGAAAGCGGTGCGAAACATTCATGTGCGAAAGCTTGATAGAGACGTAGAAAGCCGAACCACCGAAGAAATCAAACACATTAAATGCACAATAAAACTGACTACACATACAGGACATAATCACAGACAAACGCTACACTCAAATCATCAAAATCGTAACCACAGACACTAGAATAGCATCCCACATGCTTACAAACGTATTTTGAATGTAAAACATCAAAATAACACCCTAACAATTCGAACAAGAACAGTACACACGCCTACTTATCTACTTAAAATGTTACAAAACAGAAGACCACGCTCACACCAATTCCCATCCCCCACTCCCTTTTGCTCCGCATGCGCCTCTTATAAGACTGCAGTTGTGCCTCGTTCTCACATTGCCGGTTAAAGGGCCGGAAGACACCCGGAATCGATTCCTGGGGTACCGGTTATCAAACTGAAGATCCGGGTAATGAGATCCGGGAGTTCCTAGAGTTCCTGGAGGGCGTGGCCATAATCCGGCTTGGTCGGAAAAATTATTCAACATGTTGAATAATTTTGCCGGTACGCCCGGAACCATAAAAATCCGGGAGCCAACCTGCTCTTCCATTGCTATGTGAGAACTCAACCGGCACGGCCGGGGGACCAGCCTGGGGTACCGGGAGGGGTGAAGTCGTCCCAAATTTTTTTTTGTGCCAAAGCATTGTCACTTATGCCTCGTTCTCACATTGCCGGTTAAAGGGCCGGAAGTCCCGGAAATGCCAAGCCGGTTGAAATGCCGGATTTATAGCCGGTATATGGGGCAGGGCGTAATATGCAAGGGGCAGGGCTTAATATGTATTGCCCTCCAGGTAGGTGTCCCGTAAGAGCCAGTAGGTTTCCCGGAAGAGCCGGATATCCGGGAGATCCGGCTTCAGTAGCCGGGAGATCCTGCAATACCGGCTGTCAACGTATTCCCGGTACTCCCGGGAGCCTGCCGGAAGTCCCGTATGCCTCCCGGATTTCCAGGCAGATCGCCGGAATTCCCGGAAAAAAGCCGGTAAAACAGCAGGTGAAGCCGTTTGAGCAGTAAGAGCTGCCGGAAAACCAGGGTAGGCCCGGCTTTTTTCCCGGTATTCCAGGTAAGTTATGCAAATTTAGGCCCGCCCCTTTCAATAAAAGCTTTCAATGTTTAATGAAAAGTTTCCCTATTTAATTTAATACCTTTTTCACAATATTCAGATCTAAAGTAAATGGTGACAGGTATTATAAGTTAAAAAGTGTATTAAAATGTTTAAGGAACTTTATTGAATAAGAACAACTTTTCGGAAAGTAAAAGCAAAAATGTGTATCAGCTTCAGTTAAAAAATTGTATTCATCTTTAACACAAAATTATTTCAGAAAGTGTTTAAAAAATTATTTCAGACAATTATTTCAGAGTGTTTACAAGAAAGAAAATGGTGATAATGTTTCATTAAATTAATCACACCCCATTCATTGTTACATAGTGTTTACAATATATAAACATGCATACCGGTATATCAAATGCAAATTTGCAAAGTTTAATCAGCAGACATGAAAGAAATGTTAATAATTAACAAAACTTGCACAAAAATGTGAAAAAGTACATCATTTTAACAGCAGATAGTATTAAATATGAACAATTGACAATGCATTTGCGAAAAAATAAAAAAGTACAAAGTTGAAACAGCACATGCTTAGACAACTGGGCCTGTATTCCATCATAACACCCCGCATCATTCCAGGCATCATACCCATTCACGAAAAATTATTTTTGCAAACACAATATCAAACCACTCTTCAATGCATCCATCACAGGCATCAACAGACAACTCATCGCCCCATGCCAACAACTATACATAGCATACAGACTCCTCCAAACACAGATATGGTAGAATCTCATTAGCATTTTAGAAACACAAACAGATCACAAAAATCCTGATCTTCCCTAAGCGCATGCTACGGTCTGACACCTAACTAAGCGTCCCATACCTCAAACACAAAAAAAATCCAATTCGACACCCCAGAACAAAAAAGTCATCTTCCACCAACATGTTCACTCAGAACGACACAGACAACGAAGACTTTAACATCGATCACATCGATCACCTTATCTCCGATAAGGTTTGGCCAACTGACTTCAATACAAAATCAGAATAAACCTACGCCCGACCTTTACAAAAATGCTTTCAGACTACCTGACAGACAAAAAAGCATCCATCAGAATTTTGGCAATCTCGTTTACAATCTCGTGTTGGCAATCTCGTTTAAATATACAAAAACCTATAATTCATGGATTATATAAACTCGTAAAACAACGAGCAACTTACTATGCAATTTCAATAGAAATAATTGAATAAGTCTATCTGTAGACAAATTCTCCATCGCGAATTTCACTTATCGCGGCCTGATCAGGGAACGTAACACCCGCGATAAATGAGGGATAACTTTGCCTTATTTTCAGATAATGTTGAAACCCCGTACGACCCTGAACTGATGCCGCAGAAACTGACTTGCTGCAAGAAAATAATAGCCGGACATTGCGTCGCAATTGTGCAACGTCCTGACCCCCACGAAAAATTCGCATACTGTGAGGCCAAGGCTCGGTGCGAGGCCCTCGGCTTGCAGCTGGCATCCTACGAGTTGGAGATCAACCCCGCCATTCAGCAATACGCCCTAGATCAAGCAAACGCAAGTCCTGGTGAGTTTTGATCTACCTAACAGGGCTTGGGTCGTACAGTGTGCATATATATATAGTTTAAAATTTTCATATCTCTCAGCCAATCACTGACGGTTTTTCAAGCTTAACATACTAAACACAGACGAAGAATCTGCCTCTACGTGTACTTAAAACGCTATGAGTACTTTGGCGATATTCATAAGTACGGCCATTGCACTGCAAAGCTGAACTCTATTCTCGTACTAAATGATTTTGCCCCTCCAGTGAAAATCTAACACAATTTACACGGATTGTCACCGACTAACAAGGTTGAGCGAGCTTTTTTGGCGGAGAGTACAAGCCTGGCATTAGTTCATTTAACTACTTACCGACTTGACATTGAACAATTAACTCTTAAATGATAATGTCGTGCAGGGACTTATTTAGATCAATGAGTTCAAAGGTTCAAATGCTCTGAAAAAAATTCGTCGCAGTTGAAATAACTATTTGTATCTCGCGGGTAAAAATTGTTTGATGAAGCTGTCACATGTACTATACGATGTTCTCAGAAGAGAACGAAGAATTGTTCCAAAACCTCGCTGAACCAGGACGAACCTGTCTTCACACTTCAGCACTCGTTGATATTCCAATGAAAGATCACTATTGGGCTGAGAAATATTTTGAGATCTCGATAAGGTTTAGCACAGTAGCATAGCTTCCTGATGCCTCATAACGAGGATTTTCTACAAGTCACCTACACGTGTTGGTGGAGAGTACCTGGTGATCGAGTCAACACAACAAACTCTGGATGATGTTGAAATTAGGAAAACGACGGCTGACGTCCCATATGATCCAGTGCCAGTTCATGGTTTTCATACCAATTGTTAACATTTCAGTTTCGTAGAGATTGCAGATTAAAGGTTTTAGTGGAAACTGGATTGCATAAATGCTGATTTAACTCTGCACCCATCTAGCTTGCTTGCTTTCGTTCAATATGAGGATAAAAAATCTTAGAATGTCGATCAAAGCTGTTTAGATTGCCTTTAATTTCAGTAATGAAAGATACGATTGCAGGGTGGCAGCAAGAAGGCAACTATTACACAGATCGAATGTAGGTGTGAGTTAAGCTCTTCCGCTGACCGGCGTGCGTTTGTTTCAACCATGAAGTTTATGAGGAATAAAAATAATCTCAACAATCTGCGCTCTATTGCATTCAAGTTCATGGCATAGAATAGCTAAATTTTGGAAAAATTTTATCCCGTGTTAGATTGATTCCTTGTCGTGTGCTCCATTCTTTAAACATGTGTCTTGGGTCCTTCTTAAACGTTATGCATTGTGAGTTGTTTGAAAAATTTTTTGTGGAAATGCCAGTGTAGTAATGTATAAACTCTCGAGCGCATTCGTAGTTCGCATTGGTCTACTATAGTATTTTTGTACATGTGTTGTTTTTCCAGGTTGTATTTGTGGATTTCAATATCCTTCAATCCCACTCACTTATGCACCGCCTCAACACCATACTGCTCAGAATGCTCATCCACGAGCACACATACACTCAGTGCATCAATACACATAAAAATGCCTCAATTGCCACCAAGATCACTGAACACATGCCTTCAACTGTCCATACTGGAAACAAACCACCATTTTCAAACAAAAAACAATACTAGACGAACGAAAAAAGCACAACAAACTATGCTCAACTAGCAACCAATACAGACCAACCAATACAACTCAAATAAAACTGACTGCAATAATTCTAGAAGCTAACATCGCCCGCATTGCACGATAAGAGAAAACTAAAAATAAAATAAATAAAAAACTTTTGAAAACCACGTTTTCTTAACGGACAAAAAAGAAAAGATTAACTCTTACATAAAATTTAAGTTATGTAGAATGTTATGTAATGTTAAGTAAGAGTTAATGTTTTTCTTTTTTGTCCGTTAAGAAAACGTGGTTTTTAAAAGTTTTTTTATTTATTTTATTTCATTGTTTTTAGTTTTCTAATCACCAGAAAAATGTGGGTTTTAAAATGTTTTTTTATATATATTTATTTTCTACCATTTAGTTTAGCAATTTTAACAATTCAAATCATTTTCCAGGGTTGGCAATTCTGGATGTTCGAAAAAAACTATTCCCAACCATGAATTTTTAGTTTTTTTTTAATTTTTTTTAAATAAATTTTTTTTAATTATTACTTCCGATGATCAAATCTTGAATTGTTAGGCAGCATAAGCATGCATCCCAAATTTCAAGTTTCTAGGATCTTCAGAAGTGCTCTAAATTAAGGTTTGAATTTTTGATGACAGACAGAGAAGAAGCGAAACTAAGAAAAACGTTGTAATAAGTGACGAGAAGTACAAGGAATTGCTTTTCTTTGTGCCAGGAATCGACGAAAAAATAACCGTTAGACTGTTCAGGAGTGACAACGACCCCAACCCAATCCCTGAAGTCCCTCACATGCAGCACCTGGTAGTTTGACGAACTGAGGAAAAACTCCTCAGACGAACTGAGGTCCTCAGTTCGAGGACCTCAGAGGTCCTTTAGGTCCTCAGACGAACTGAGGACCTAAACTCCCAAAATAATCGACTATTTTCGACGCTACAAGCTAAAATTCAACAGACACAGTGGTTTCAGTTTAGAGTAACAAGATTGGCGCAGAGAGGTGCGGGTTCGATCCCAGCTTTGTGCGCCAGCTTCTGGTCAGAATCGGCGAGGAGGCCGGGTGGTTAAGTACTGAAGAATTGTAGCAGTGAGTTGCGAGTTCGAGACCGCAGCAAGCTGTGAATGTTCTGCGATGTTAAGAATCGGCGAAAGGCCTACGGCCTCATAAACGCTGAATCCGCAATATTATTATATTATTATCATTCCTCACGACATCTTCTGAAGCATGGACAGACACTCAACCATAACTACTAATTAGACGAAACAATATCTACATCTAAACACCATCGCCCTACCCTCAATAATCCCCCAAAACCAACTGTAAACAATACAACACAACGTTCGATACTGGCACAAAAAAATATTTCCATTAGTAAAATTTTAAAACCGCACTGATCCCGACATAAAACTGATCAACGATCTTTTTTACTGACAACAATATTCCGCTCACGATACTACAGCGTCTAACGCTGCAACATAAACAATGCAATACACGCCGGCGGAGCATTAGTAATAAAATAGTCTCCAAGAATAGCAATAGAATAGTACCGGTAGAGCATTAGTAACATCCCATTTCATACTTCACGACAACAACCACACGGACATACTTGCCATAACAGTTAACACTCAACAATGACCCATCACAATAGGAACAATATACATCACACCAACCTATCACATTCCCATTAGAGCCACCATGCATAACTGAAAACCCCATACAAACATCCATTTGACCACGTAGTTCCTTCCATAGAGCAAAGGGCACCTTATACAAACAAACCCTTTTACAGCACGCAGACTCGCACAATCCACCAAATACCAGCAGAAATAGACAAATACTTGGAAAATTAAATAAAACACAGACAAAGTGCCACTGAAACTTCGATTCCAACCATAACACATCACATCATTCCTGGTATCAAGCCCACTCAAGAAACATTACTCATACAAGCACAATATTAAGTCACTCGTCCAGACTTTCACACCTACGGCCCATCAATAGCACTGCACGGACAACTCATCGCCTCACGTCAACAACTACACACTGCATACAGACACCTCGGAGCACAAAGATGACAAGACCTCACCAACACTTCGGAAATATAAATAGATCCCAAAAAATTATGGTCTTCCTTAATACGCATACTAGGTTCCAACACTAAACAAGCCGTCCCATACCTACAAAACAACAATATAGAAAATATAACACCAGAACGAAAAGAACCCATCTTCTGCAAGCACTAGCAAGACATTTTCACCCATAACGACATCGAGAACGAAGACTTTGACATGACCTTGTGACCTTCTGATGAGTTTAGGACTTCGTAGTCAACGGTCAAGCTGATGCTCCACCTTCGTCGTCCTCCGTCTCCGAGTCGTCGTTTGGCAGGTCATCCCGCCCTCTGGTCCTGGATGTAACGTTGGACGTGTTCCGTCTATTTGCCTTCCTTTGGGCCAGCTGATGCAAGATGCTGTTGCTTGTCACCTACTGAGGGTGGTTTCCCATTACTGGACAATCCGGGATCTTTCTCAACCACTTGTCCAGTCGTCTCTTGAATGTTGCAAGGGTAAACTTCCCTCCTCTCAGCGCTTTTGGCAAGGCATTAAAGAGCCTCGGTCCTACCACGGACAGTGATCCCTCACGAAGAGTCTGTACTCTGACCGCGGCTTGGTTATTAAATGGGGGAACCTCGCACAGTCTCCCTCTCCTTTCATTGTAACGTGTCACTATTCTGGAGGTCTCACTCTAAAAGTTGGGAGCCAGTCCGGTTATTATCTTCCAAGTGTACAGTATGATATACCTTTCACTTCTCCTCTCCAGTGAGAACAATCCCAGGTGTTTCAGCCTTCCCCAGTAATTCAGGTTCAGCTCTCTCATGCCACTGATCCTGTACGTGAAGGTCCTCTGCACTGCCTCCAGGTTCCGCACCGCACCCGCCTTGAGTGGCGACCAAAGTTGGCAGCAATACTCAAGTTTGGGGAGCACGAGGGCTCTGAAGAGTGTAATCATTGGTGCTGCTTTTCTCGTTCGAAATGTCCGCCATATCCACCCATCCGTTGCCGGCAGCGCGCGACTATTTCCTCGATATGGGCATCGAACGTGGCTTCAGTACTCATCAATACTCCGAGATCTCAAACTAGTTGCTTCTCCTCAATTTCTGTGCCATCTGATGCCAAGTAGCGATGCGGCATCCCGATCTCTGTGCGGACTCTGTATCTCATCACTTCGAACTTGGTGTCGTTAAACTGCATATTGTTCACTAGGGCCCAATCGTAGATTGACGATAGATCATCCTGTAATCTCTAGCAGTCTAGGTCATCTGTGATCCTCGTCAGCACACTTGTATCGTCCGCAAATGACGATGTAGATGCGTGGGTGA